TTCATCTAATGGCACTTCGAGGCCTGCTTCATCTAATGGCACTTCGAGGCCTGCTTCATCTAATGGCACTTCGAGGCCTGCTTCATCTAATGGCACTTCGAGACCTGCTTCATCTAATGGCACTTCGAGGCCTGCTTCATCTAATGGCACTTCGAGGCCTGCTTCATCTAATGGCACTTCGAGACCTGCTTCATCTAATGGCACTTCGAGGCCTGCTTCATCTAATGGCACTTCGAGGCCTGCTTCATCTAATGGCACTTCGAGGCCTGCTTCATCTAATGGCACTTGGAGGCCTGCTTCATGTAATGGCACTTCGAGGCCTGCTTCATCTAATGGCACTTCGAGGCCTGCTTCATCTAATGGCACTTCGAGACCTGCTTCATCTAATGGCACTTCGAGGCCTGCTTCATCTAATGGCACTTCGAGGCCTGCTTCATCTAATGGCACTTCGAGGCCTGCTTCATCTAATGGCACTTCGAGGCCTGCTTCATCTAATGGCACTTCGAGACCTGCTTCATCTAATGGCACTTCGAGACCTGCTTCATCTAATGGCACTTCGAGGCCTGCTTCATCTAATGGCACTTCGAGGCCTGCTTCATCTAATGGCACTTCGAGGCCTGCTTCATCTAATGGCACTTCGAGGCCTGCTTCATCTAATGGCACTTCGAGGCCTGCTTCATCTAATGGCACTTCGAGGCCTGCTTCATCTAATGGCACTTCGAGGCCTGCTTCATCTAATGGCACTTCGAGGCCTGCTTCATCTAATGGCACTTCGAGACCTGCTTCATCTAATGGCACTTCGAGACCTGCTTCATCTAATGGCACTTCGAGGCCTGCTTCATCTAATGGCACTTCGAGGCCTGCTTCATCTAATGGCACTTCGAGGCCTGCTTCATCTAATGGCACTTCGAGGCCTGCTTCATCTAATGGCACTTCGAGACCTGCTTCATCTAATGGCACTTCGAGACCTGCTTCATCTAATGACACTTCGAGGCCTGCTTCATCTAATGGCACTTCGAGGCCTGCTTCATCTAATGGCACTTCGAGGCCTGCTTCATCTAATGACACTTCGAGACCTGCTTCATCTAATGCCACTTCGAGGCCTGCTTCATCTAATGGCACTTCGAGGCCTGCTTCATCTAATGGCACTTCGAGGCCTGCTTCATCTAATGGCACTTCGAGGCCTGCTTCATCTAATGGCACTTCGAGGCCTGCTTCATCTAATGGCACTTCGAGGCCTGCTTCATCTAATGGCACTTCGAGGCCTGCTTCATCTAATGGCACTTCGAGACCTGCTTCATCTAATGGCACTTCGAGGCCTGCTTCATCTAATGGCACTTCGAGGCCTGCTTCATCTAATGGCACTTCGAGACCTGCTTCATCTAATGGCACTTCGAGGCCTGCTTCATCTAATGGCACTTCGAGGCCTGCTTCATCTAATGGCACTTCGAGGCCTGCTTCATCTAATGGCACTTCGAGGCCTGCTTCATCTAATGGCACTTCGAGACCTGCTTCATCTAATGGCACTTCGAGACCTGCTTCATCTAATGGCACTTCGAGGCCTGCTTCATCTAATGGCACTTCGAGGCCTGCTTCATCTAATGGCACTTCGAGGCCTGCTTCATCTAATGGCACTTCGAGGCCTGCTTCATCTAATGGCACTTCGAGGCCTGCTTCATCTAATGGCACTTCGAGGCCTGCTTCATCTAATGGCACTTGGAGGCCTGCTTCATCTAATGGCACTTCGAGACCTGCTTCATCTAATGGCACTTGGAGGCCTGCTTCATCTAATGGCACTTCGAGGCCTGCTTCATCTAATGGCACTTCGAGACCTGCTTCATCTAATGGCACTTCGAGGCCTGCTTCATCTAATGGCACTTCGAGGCCTGCTTCATCTAATGGCACTTCGAGGCCTGCTTCATCTAATGGCACTTGGAGGCCTGCTTCATCTAATGGCACTTCGAGGCCTGCTTCATCTAATGGCACTTCGAGGCCTGCTTCATCTAATGGCACTTCGAGACCTGCTTCATCTAATGGCACTTCGAGGCCTGCTTCATCTAATGGCACTTCGAGGCCTGCTTCATCTAATGGCACTTCGAGGCCTGCTTCATCTAATGGCACTTCGAGGCCTGCTTCATCTAATGGCACTTCGAGACCTGCTTCATCTAATGGCACTTCGAGACCTGCTTCATCTAATGGCACTTCGAGGCCTGCTTCATCTAATGGCACTTCGAGGCCTGCTTCATCTAATGGCACTTCGAGGCCTGCTTCATCTAATGGCACTTCGAGGCCTGCTTCATCTAATGGCACTTCGAGGCCTGCTTCATCTAATGGCACTTCGAGGCCTGCTTCATCTAATGGCACTTCGAGGCCTGCTTCATCTAATGGCACTTCGAGGCCTGCTTCATCTAATGGCACTTCGAGACCTGCTTCATCTAATGGCACTTCGAGACCTGCTTCATCTAATGGCACTTCGAGGCCTGCTTCATCTAATGGCACTTCGAGGCCTGCTTCATCTAATGGCACTTCGAGGCCTGCTTCATCTAATGGCACTTCGAGGCCTGCTTCATCTAATGGCACTTCGAGGCCTGCTTCATCTAATGGCACTTCGAGGCCTGCTTCATCTAATGGCACTTGGAGGCCTGCTTCATCTAATGGCACTTCGAGACCTGCTTCATCTAATGGCACTTCGAGGCCTGCTTCATCTAATGGCACTTCGAGGCCTGCTTCATCTAATGGCACTTCGAGACCTGCTTCATCTAATGGCACTTCGAGGCTTGCTTCATCTAATGGCACTTCGAGGCCTGCTTCATCTAATGGCACTTCGAGGCCTGCTTCATCTAATGGCACTTGGAGGCCTGCTTCATCTAATGGCACTTCGAGGCCTGCTTCATCTAATGGCACTTCGAGGCCTGCTTCATCTAATGGCACTTCGAGGCCTGCTTCATCTAATGGCACTTCGAGACCTGCTTCATCTAATGGCACTTGGAGGCCTGCTTCATCTAATGGCACTTCGAGGCCTGCTTCATCTAATGGCACTTCGAGGCCTGCTTCATCTAATGGCACTTCGAGGCCTGCTTCATCTAATGGCACTTCGAGGCCTGCTTCATCTAATGGCACTTCGAGGCCTGCTTCATCTAATGGCACTTCGAGGCCTGCTTCATCTAATGGCACTTCGAGGCCTGCTTCATCTAATGGCACTTCGAGACCTGCTTCATCTAATGGCACTTCGAGGCCTGCTTCATCTAATGGCACTTCGAGGCCTGCTTCATCTAATGGCACTTCGAGGCCTGCTTCATCTAATGGCACTTCGAGACCTGCTTCATCTAATGGCACTTCGAGGCCTGCTTCATCTAATGGCACTTCGAGGCCTGCTTCATCTAATGGCACTTCGAGGCCTGCTTCATCTAATGGCACTTCGAGGCCTGCTTCATCTAATGGCACTTCGAGGCCTGCTTCATCTAATGGCACTTCGAGGCCTGCTTCATCTAATGGCACTTCGAGACCTGCTTCATCTAATGGCACTTCGAGACCTGCTTCATCTAATGGCACTTCGAGGCCTGCTTCATCTCATGGCACTTCGAGGCCTGCTTCATCTAATGGCACTTCGAGACCTGCTTCATCTAATGGCACTTCGAGGCTTGCTTCATCTAATGGCACTTCGAGGCCTGCTTCATCTAATGGCACTTCGAGGCCTGCTTCATCTAATGGCACTTGGAGGCCTGCTTCATCTAATGGCACTTCGAGGCCTGCTTCATCTAATGGCACTTCGAGGCCTGCTTCATCTAATGGCACTTCGAGGCCTGCTTCATCTAATGGCACTTCGAGGCCTGCTTCATCTAATGGCACTTCGAGGCCTGCTTCATCTAATGGCACTTCGAGGCCTGCTTCATCTAATGGCACTTCGAGGCCTGCTTCATCTAATGGCACTTGGAGGCCTGCTTCATCTAATGGCACTTCGAGGCCTGCTTCATCTAATGGCACTTCGAGGCCTGCTTCATCTAATGGCACTTCGAGGCCTGCTTCATCTAATGGCACTTCGAGGCCTGCTTCATCTAATGGCACTTCGAGGCCTGCTTCATCTAATGGCACTTCGAGGCCTGCTTCATCTAATGGCACTTCGAGGCCTGCTTCATCTAATGGCACTTCGAGGCCTGCTTCATCTAATGGCACTTCGAGGCCTGCTTCATCTAATGGCACTTCGAGGCCTGCTTCATCTAATGGCACTTCGAGGCCTGCTTCATCTAATGGCACTTCGAGGCCTGCTTCATCTAATGGCACTTCGAGGCCTGCTTCATCTAATGGCACAACAAGGTGAACGCGGCCACAGAGCATACAGCGTGATGGGGGAAGATAGATCAGAACCCCTGGTACTTCTCCTGTCTCTCGTTTCCCCAACCCATCCTTCCCCACCCATACTAACGCCCTCATTCTGCAAAGCTTACTGGCATGACGAGGTGAAGACGATAACCGACCGCACGGGGGCGCGGGCGGCAGCAGATGAGGAGGGGGGCGGCGCGGGGGGGAGGATGGTTTGGAGGGAGGGGAGGAGGCGGGAGAGGAGGCGGCAGAGGTAGACGTCCCGCACGTTGGCAGGCAGGAAGAGGTAGGATTGATCCAGAGCTTCGACCGTCTTAAAGCCCTCGTAGGCCTCAAAGTGGAACAGCTTCTTTGTTTTGCTCATAGCCTGCCGATGAGTAGGGGGTACAACGCACCGCACAAGGGGAAAACGGGGAAACCGGCATGGGTAATGGGCATGGGATGGGTTCTCGTGGGGCGGGAGAGGAGGGCAGAGGAAGACGTCTCGCACGTTGGAGGGCAGGAAGAGGTAAGCTTGATCCAGGGATTCCACTGTCTTGAATTCCTCGTCTGCTTCTAAATGGAACAACTTCTTGGTTTTGCTCATGGCCTGTGTGTGTGTATGTATGGGGTGCAGCGCACAGGAAACGGAGCAGATGCATGGGCATGGGGCATGGGGCATGGGCTGAGATGGGTTTTCATCAGTTGCAAGAGGAGGCGGCAGAGGTCGACGTCTCGCACGTTGGCGGGGAGGAAAAGAGGTACGTCTGGTCCAGAGCTTCCACTGTCTTAAAGCCCTGGTAGGCCCCAAAGAGAAACAGCTTCTTGGTTTTGCTCACAGCCTGCACGTGTGTGAACGGAGTGCATGGCATGGGATACAGTGCGGGGAAAATTGGGACGGGATGAAGGTTGCAGAGAACAGCAGCAAGTGCCGGGCATTCAATCTCTCCGCAGTGCACGGGGCAGGTTTGAGGGGCACATGCCGCTCCGACGTGTAGCCTTACCACCCACCTGAAGGGCGTCCTACACTCACCTTGAGTGCGTGCAGGTTGGCAGTGAAAGTAGCTGAGAAGAGCAGCGTCTGCCTCTCTTTCGGCATCCTCGCCAGAATCGCACCAATTTCCTCCTCAAAGCCACGGTCTAGCAGGCGATCCGCCTCGTCCAGGACTAAGAACTGGGGATGGGAGAGGATGGAGCGGATGGGAGGAGGAGAAGATGTAGATGGGATAAAGAAAACAAAAGAGGGTGCAGCAGAATTGTCGCTTTTTCCTCCTCGAACCCACAGTCTAGCAGGCGATCGACCTCGTTTAGGACCAGGAACTCCAGGCAAGGGAGGGAGGGAGAGGCGAATAAGGAGATGCAAATGAGGGGGAGGCGAATAAGGAGATGCAAATGAGGGGGAGGCGAATAAGGAGATGCAAATGAGGGGGAGGCGAATAAGGAGATGCAAATGAGGGGGAGGCGAATAAGGAGATGCAAAAGAGGGAGAGGCGAATAAGGAGATGCAAATGAGGGGGGGGCAAATAAGGAGATGCAAATGAGGGAGAGGCGAATAAGGAGATCCAAATGAGGGAGAGGCGAATAAGGAGATGCAAATGAGGGGGAGGCGGGGAGAAGGAAAGGAAAACAGAATCGGCACTATTTCCTCCTCGAAGCTTCGGTCCAAATAGTGGCAGATCGGCTTTTGAGTTGACTCAAAAGTCATAGTGGCAGATCGGCCTCTATCTCTTCCTCTAAGCCGCGGTCTAACAGGCGATCGGCCTCGTCCAACACCAGGAACTGCCGGGAGAGAGGGCGTGGGGAATGAGACACAAATGAGGGGGAGGGCGGAGAGGGGGGGAAAGAGAATCACCGTTGTTTCCTCCTCTAAGCCGCGGTCTAACAGGCGATCGGCCTCGTCCAACACTTATAACTGCGAAAAGCAGACAGTCAAGAGAAGGAGGAGGGGGGAGGGAAAGCGAGCACCGACAAGGGAGCAATAGGATCACCAGCAGTAGAATAAACTACCCAACCGACCCTGACCCATGCAAACCGCACCCACCCGCGCACCTGCAGGTTGCTGAAGATTCGCTCCATGCTCGCCTCCTGCTGCAGCATCTCCCTCAATCGCCCCGGCGTTGCCACCACCACATGCGGCCGACTTGCTAGCTGCATAGCCTGAATAGGCAGGCAGGGGGAGAGGCGGGGAGATGGGAGAGGGTAGAGGGGCAGCGGAGAGGGGTGGGCGAGTGGGGGCAGCTGCATTTGCAGATGAATGCAGCTACAGCTGACGGGCACCGGTAATGCCATGTGTAGCTTGCACGTCGGCCACAGTCCCTCCAGTAGCAGGCATGAAATGCAGAGGGAGACGACTCAAAAACTAAAACGCTCCAGAAAACCAAGCACCAAATCCCCATGCATGCCCTACTCAGCTCTCATCCATCTCCCCTAAATCAACCTCCCTCTTTCCCCCCAGTCGCTACAGCACCCCTTTTGAGTCGACTTGATTTTTTTTTTTTTTTGAAGACCGGCTAACAACTCCAGGGCGCATCGTACACTCAACCCCCAAAACCCGCGCCCTCATTCTCACCTGCTCCACCATGTCACCCCCGCCGATAGCAATAGCGCAGCGCAGAGACAGCGACGACCCCAGAGCGCGGAACTGGTCGGCGATCTGCAGAGCGAGCTCCCTGGTGGGCGTGAGGACGAGCGCGAAGACCCCATAGGGATCCTCGGCTAGTTTCTGCACAGGTGAGTGGAGGGCAGGTGGAGGGGTGCAGGAGGGAAGAAAGGGTGGGGAGGGCAAGAGGGACCGTGAACTGGTGGTGGGCGATCTGCAGTGCGAGTCCCTGGTGGGCGTGAGGACTAGGACGAACACGCCGGCCATGACGTCGCTACCGGCGATGACGGGGAAAATGCACGCACACTGCAGTGGGTTCAGGGTTTTTAAAGGGCTCGGGGTTTAGATTGAAGAACCCACCTGCAGAATGGGCAGGGCGAAAGCAGCCGTTTTCCCACTGCCGGTCTGAGCCACACCAATCACGTTGCTCCCCGCAACGACGGGGGGGATGCACGCACACTGCACTGGGGTGGGATGGCGCAGACCCATCTCGTGACACGTGGCAACCAGCCATGGCGCCAGTGCCAGGTCAGCAAAGGAGTCACACGTGGCAGTGGCAGAGAGGGACACGTCAGCCTTGGCGAGGAGCGCAGTTGCTGCTGCGTCGTCCTCCTCTGTTCCTCCGTCCTCTGCTTTATCCTCCTCCCTCCCCTCTTCTTCCTCCTCCTCGTCCCCTTCACTACCATCATCCATCTCCTCTTCTTCCACCTCCCCCTCTTCCTCTCCTCCTCCCTCCTCCCCCTCCTCCCTCTCCCCATCCGCCTCTCCATCAACAAACGCCTTCCTCCCCTCCCTCCCGCCCATCCGCTTCCCCCGTCCCCCGCGTCCCCTCTCCCCCATCGGCTCCCTCGCCTGCGCGCCATCTCTGCTGACGTCACTTGCCTCCTCACCACCCCTGACGTCGCCATGTGTGCGGCCACTCTTGTCCACGTCAGCACCGCAAACACCCCTCTGCGACTCCTCGCCTCCCCGTAAAACTCCGCCTTCCGCAAAATCTCCCTCCTCGTTTCCTCTTCTCATCCCCTTAAACCCGACACCCTGAACCCTGCGCGCAGTCAACGAATTTACACTCAAGGCTTTCTTATGCGAGGCTAACGAGGGATCTGCCGGGCGACTAGCCTTAGCTTTACTCGTATCGTCAACCCCTAATGCTTTACGCTTCTTTGCACCATGACCCTTCGCAACAGCACTGGTGGGGCTTGCTGCTGGTAACCGCTCTCGTAACGATTTCGCTCTCTTATCCGTGGCCTCGTCGGCCGTCCCCGTTACAGTTACGCTCGCGCGCTTTGCAGCATTCGCAGCCGCGTCGTCCCCGCTTCCCGATCTAGCTGCGGCGTTTTTCGTCTTCCTCGCTTTCAGGAACTTCGACGAGAACAAGGGAGGCGCTTCGAACGCCATTGCAACGACCCAGGAATGGTTTGCTTGCAACGGTAACTTTCCCTCTATCACCGCCCTAGAATCAGTCGCTAATGACTTGTATGTAGCTCGACCTGTCACCCAGACGGGATCGATCTTACTGCAGACAAATTCGACCTAGCTGCTCTCGGCGTAACGTGAAATGATGTAAAGCGATCGGCGACATCAGTTTCCATTGGCGATGTGTTCGCCAAGTGGACATTCGCGAGAGTTTGCCAACGGTTAACTAGAACTGAGAGCTTCCGTCATTGTTACGAGAACTCTTTCGCCAGGGAAACAGCGAAATCAGTTCATTGTAGGTAACCGGAAATCTTCGAAATTGTATTTCCTGTACCCAATCGAAACGAGAGTTTATAGTGAGACAGAAACGGCTTTCACTTAGAGCAAAAACGGGCGGCTCGGATAAATTCCTGATCAGTGAGCTTTGGCGAATCTGCAAGCGAGGAAACGTATAGGACGGTCGATTAACATCTTGCGGCGCTAACCCTACCGCGGCAGTTCAGTGTTAGCCTCGCAACTTGAAGTACGCGTTTTATCGTGGCAGTGATGCCCGCCGCTCGCGTGGTGATCAGAGTCAACTCATGAGCAACTTATGAGCACGTTCGTGGAATCTAGCTCTAGACGCGACTCTGAGAGGCTTCGCCGACGTGCTTGCGCGCGCAGCGCAGAGCAACGTGAATGGCTTCTCACCGGGCATTCGGTTCAGGCGGCGCAATCCACGCGTCCAAGACTCAACGGGTTGCTCCTGACGCGGAGTCGCCTCGCAACCCACCTCACATCACTGGTCTCCGCAGCCTAGCCGTCGCACGATCGAACCATCGCTCTTCCATCCCCTCCATTCCTTCCTGTCCTTTCAATTCCTTCCACTCCCCGCGTCCCCATTCCCTCTCCCATCTCCTCGCCCGCCCTTGCTTCCGTTACCCCTTTCAGCCGTTCCAGAATCCGTTTCCATGCCAACGAGTGTTGATACTCCTCACCCCACGCCTGTGCACATACCACGCACGCACCACCACACCTCACTCCTCTCAGCTCCTCACCCTGCTCTCGCCTGCACAGAGGGAACTTAGGGGTCCTGTTTCCGCCCTTCTCTTCACCCGTCCACACGCTTTCACACGGTTTTTCCAACAGAAGAGGCTCGGCCGAACCATATCCGAGCTTCCCCCTTCCGTCCGGTCCACAGAGGAATGGTCCGAGCCTCGGACACTCGTCTCCCCCTTGCCTGATCCTCCTCTGCTTCCTCTGCTGCTGTTGATTCCAATGCTGCCTCTGCTGCCACTGCTGCCGCTGCTTGTTTCGCCCACTCGAGGCATTATCAGGGGAATAGCCGGTGCGGCTCTTTCCCCTCGCAACAGCACTGCTGCTGCTGCTCTCTCCCAAGTCAGAAAACTCCTAAGCGGCGGAGTGCGAGCGCTGCTGCTATCTGGTCTTCTCCTGATGGGTGCTGCAGCCTTGGGAGTGAGAGCAGCACCAGCAATAGCAGCTACATCTTCAGTTACAGTTACATCTTCAGGGCCAGCCCAAACCAGACAAGCGGGAGGCGTAGCAAACAAACGGAGCAGGAGGCTTAAAGCCAACGCGTTCGTTCGGCTCGCAGCCAATCGCGTGGTGCCAGCTGTCGTGCAGCTAGAGGTGGAAAGGTAGGCTTTGCGACCGTGTCCTTTGTGTTCAGAATATTCTGTCCGCAAAAAGTTTTGCAAGATTTCTTACAAGGAACGTTATGCTCCACTGATACTTAGGGATAAGCGGACCCCCCTGAATGTATCCCAGTTTTGGAGACGCCTCATACCCACCCATTCCTCGCCTGTCTGTGTCTACCCTGCTTCCAGGCATCTTCCTCGGGCATCGCCGCAAGCAACCTTGAGAAAGGGGGAGGAGGGCAGCGGGGAGGAGGAGGCAGAGGGGCGGGGCAGTGTGGATGGCGGGGAGGAGGATGCGTTCAGGGAGACAGGTGGGTTCGGATCATATCAATACAGCACTACAGCAGTATGGCTATGAGAGCATGTTTACATCGTAGACACATGCCATGTCCTGTTTCCGCACACTGTGACCCATGCCCTTCCGTTCGCTCTCCCTCGTTTTTCTTTTCTCCTTGCTTCCCCCATCTCACACCTTTTTCACATCGCTCGTTTCTTCCACCATCCCGTTCCACCGTGCAATGCAACCAGCCCATTCTATTGATGCTCCCGCAGACGACGTGATGTTTCTGGCGAAATCCGATCCGAATGCAAGCACTGACAGAGCGGATGGCTGCAGCACTCGCCTGGCATCCTCTTCATGGCCGCACGAGCCTCGAGTGGGGGCGTGGTTGCGCCGACTCAAGGAGAGGGGGAGGTTGGAGGCCAAGGCCAAGGCACCCGAGACATACACAGAAACTAGTGTGTGAGCTTTGTTGCTTCTTTCAATCCACTCTTGTCTTTCGTGAGTGCCACAATTGCCCATTAGACGCACAAGCGTTGAGTGGGGGCATGGCTGCGCAGACTCAAGGAGAGGGCGAGGATGGAGGCCAGGGAAAAGGCGAAGACCAAGGCACCGGAGGCGTTCACAGAAACTAGTGTGAGAGCCTTGCTGCTGTGTTGCCATCCACGCTGCTCTCTCTGCCATTCGCCACTGCTGTGTCTGACGTTCCATGCACTCTCGCCTGGCACCATCCTCATGGCCCCACAACATCCCTCCCTCCCTCCTTCCATCCCTCCCTCCCCGTCCAACTTCCCTCTTTCCCTCCCTCCCACCCTGTCCTCCCTTTTCTCCCTTCCCACCCATCAGCGGCAGCAGTTTTATCATCAGCAGCACTCAGCAACTGGTGCAGGAACCACTTGGTGAAAAAACCAGTGTGAATCTACTTCTGTGGATGCCTCAAAATACACTCGCCCCCATTCCATCCCTTCGTCCCTTCCTCTCCACCCACCCGCGGCAGCGGGTTCGTCGGTAACAGCACTCAGCGGCTTAATAATCTGTTTCAGCGACTTAAGAATGCTTTCTATACAAGCCGCTCCTAAAGCCGTCCTTACCTCCCTTCTTCCCCCCCGTCCCCCTTTTCCACCCACCAGCGGCAGTGAATTCATCGTCAGCAGAGTTCAACGGCTGGTGTGTATACCACATAGTAATAACCTCTTATAAGAACGCCTTGATGCCGCCCTTCCCTTTCCCTTCCTCCCCCCCCGCCCTTACTGGCCACCCACCAGCGGCAGCGGGTTCATTGTCAGCAGTGCTCAGCGGCTGGTGCTCACCAATGCTCATGTGGTGGACGGGGCAGCGAGAGTGACGGTAAGGGGAGTGCTCATGCCTGTCACACATCGCTCATAGGAACGTGCTGGCGCTCAGTGGCTGGTGCTCACCAATGCTCACGTGGTGGACGGTGCAGCGAGAGTGACGGTAAGAGGAAGGCAGGAATCACTCTATTACATGCCACATGTGGCGTATGTCTCAGCAGCCAGGGGCATGTGCTGGTGCTCGACGGCTGGTGCTCACCAATGCTCATGTGGTTGATGGTGCAGCGAGAGTGACGGTAAGAGGGATGAGGAAGCGTGAATGCGTCTGGATGGGAACAGATCTCCGTCCCGCTTTAAACGGTGGTCACACATTGCCCATAGCGACGTGCTTGCTGGTGCTCGACGGCTGGTTCTCATCAACGCGCACGTGGTTGATGGTGCAGCGAGAGTGACGGTAAGGGGAGTGATTATGTCCCACTGATCATGTCACCCGTAAGCAGTGAACGTTTTGCCAGATGTCAACGGTGCTCATGGAGTAGACGGACGGTGCAGTGAGAGTGACGGTAAGGGGTGTGCTCATGCTGCACAGATTGTATCATGTCACTCATGGGCGGAAGCGGAATCATGTTGTGGAGGGTGCAGCAGAAGTGATGGTAGGGGGAGTGCGGCGCATATCACGGCATGTGAATCACAGGCACTATAGACATCGGCGCTCGCCAGTCCGCAACTATGCCCATGTGCTGGATGGGGCAGCGAGAGTGACGGTAGGGGTGAGGACGAGAGAATGTCTGTCTGTCTGGATGTGACTTTTGAGTCACACACATGTGACTCGACATGACTCGAAATTCACCTCGAATTTCTGCCACACATGGGTCGAAGGGAGGGACATTTGCAACTCATCGGCCATGGGGACTTGCTGGGTGTGCTCAGCGGCTGGTGCTCTGCAACGCACCATAGTGGTTACCCCACATGTGGTTGATGGTGCAGCAGCTTGATGGTATGGCGAGGAGAGGAATCGATCACCCTACTGGGTTCAAATGGACATTCATGTCTCAGCTCAGTCTTCTGTGACATGTGTGACATGCGTGACATGTGTGACATGTGTGACATGCGTGACATGTGTGACATGTGTGACATGTGTGACATGCGTGACATGCGTGACATGCGTGACATGTGTGACATGCGTGACATGTGTGACATGTGTGACATGCGTGACATGTGTGACATGCGTGACATGTGTGACATGTGTGACATGTGTGACATGTGTGACATGCGTGACATGTGTGACATGTGTGACATGTGTGACATGTGTGACATGTGTGACATGTGTGACATGTGTGACATGTGTGACATGTGTGACATGTGTGACATGTGTGACATGTGTGACATGTGTGACATGTGTGACATGTGTGACATGTGTGACATGTGAGTGTGACATGCGTGACATGTGTGACATGTGTGACATGTGTGACATGTGTGACATGTGTGACATGTGTGACATGCGTGACATGCGTGACATGTGTGACATGTGTGACATGTGTGACATGTGTGACATGTGTGACATGTGTGACATGTGTGACATGTGTGACATGTGTGACATGTGTGACATGTGTGACATGTGTGACATGTGTGACATGTGTGACATGTGTGACATGTACATACATGTCACAGAAGACTGAGCTGAGGCACATGCTGGTCCACACACCCCAGTGCATGGCATGGCTTGGGGTGATGGATTTGTGCATGCTTCTTGCACAGAGATGCATGTGTGTTGTTGCTCACTTAGTGTTGGGTGCGAGGTATGTCTGCACACATAGTTGCATATGTACTGCTTAAGGGTAGATGAAAGGGATGGTAAGGAAACGACGAGAAGGGAGGGAAGGCAGGTGATGCATGTGTGTTGTTGCTCACTAGTGTTGGGTGCGAGGTATGTCTGCACACATAGGAGGGTGTCAGTCGCAGCTAGTTCACCTGCCTTCCCTCCCTTCTCGTCGTTTCCTCCCATCCCTTTCATCTTTCTCCCATCCCTTTCATCTTCCTTCCATCCCTTTCATCTTCCTCCCATCCATCGTCCCTTCCCGTACCTCCCATCCCCTCCATCCCTCCCATTTCTCCCCCCCATCCTGTCAGCTGCTTCTCCCCGACGGTCGTCGCTTTGCCACAGAGTCAACCGCACTGCATCCCTCTGCAGACCTCGCAGTGCTCAAGGTACTCTCTCACTGCATTCGTCTGTTGTACCCTAGTATGCGGTTACTTAGCTCTGACTGACGGATCTGCTGCCAGCAACAACATCAGCGCATGGGGGTCTGCCTGTGGTTGTTGTCTGAATATGCCACATGGAGAGGTTAATGCCATTATTTTGTGCCGAGAGGTTCAGGTTCAGGGTTCTTATTACTCCACTACATTGATACCTAGTTGACTTTGAGTCGACTCAGAAGTCACCTTATTTCTCCACCACATCATGATAACTGCTCAAGAGGCCCGCTTGAGTTGATGCTCCCGCTTCAACCAGTTCATCAGTGCTTCACTTAAAAGGGGGAAGTTTCATGACCACCTACTCTCTTCTCCAGCATGACTAATCAGAGAGGTTCCCCCTTTAAGAGGCTCTCATACTTCCCCCTTAAAAGTTGTTGCATGTTGTATTGTATCGTGTCTATCTACTGTTGGCCAGTGGGTGACTCACAGCCTGTTGACCCGAAACGGGAAGGTTTCTCTGCAGGCAGCAAACACGTTCTTTCAACTCACGCGTTCCTTCTCACGCGTTCCTTGAGGCTCAACTCATGCGTTCCTTGAGGCTCAACTCATGCGTTCCTTGAGGCTCAACTCATGCGTTCCTTGAGGCTCAACTCATGCGTTCCTTGAGGCTCAACTCATGCGTTCCTTGAGGCTCAACTCATGCGTTCCTTGAGGCTCAACTCATGCGTTCCTTGAGGCTCAACTCATGCGTTCCTTGAGGCTCAACTCATGCGTTCCTTGAGGCTCAACTCATGCGTTCCTTGAGGCTCAACTCATGCGTTCCTTGAGGCTCAACTCATGCGTTCCTTGAGGCTCAACTCATGCGTTCCTTGAGGCTCAACTCATGCGTTCCTTGAGGCTCAACTCAACTCATGCGTTCCTTGAGGCTCAACTCAACTCATGCGTTCCTTCTCTTAGTTGTCCTTTCCTACCACTGCTGCACAGTTTGTGACTCACTGCCTGTTGACCAGAAGGGGGGGAGGGGTGGAGTTTTCTGTGCAGGCAGCAACATGTTTCTTTCAACTCACGCATTCCTTTTCTTGGTTTACTTTTCCTCCCACTGCTGCCCAGTAGGTGACTCATAGGCTGTTTACCAGAGGGCCTACTGTATCAGCAGTCTTGGTTTCCGGCCTGCAAGGGATTGACGAGCCGGCTGTATCAGCAGCGAATGGAGCATTGACTGTGGCAGGAGAGGAGCGGGGAGCTGTAGCGGTAACGATTGGGGACGACAAGACTGCAGCAGACAGGGTTGGGTCAACTGGAGGAACGATTCCTGTGGACTGTTGCAGGGGAGTGGGTTCAAGAGAAGCGGATGGGAGTCCTGCCGTAGCAGGCATATTTGGGGAAGTGAGAGCAGAGGTGCAAGAGACAGGAGGGGAGGGAGGAGTTCAGAGGGATGGAGGGGAAAGAGCAGGTGAGAGGGATGGAAGAGAGGGAGGAGAGGGCAGCAGAGAAGACAAGGAGTGGCTCCCCTGTGCGCCCATTGGTGATAGTGATGACGTGGAGCTTGCTGATTGGGTGATCTCGGTGGGCAATCCTGTGGGGCTGCCTGGCAGCATCAGCCTGGGCGTGATCAGCAGCCTGCACCGCACTGCTGCTCAGGTGAGGAAGGGGGTTGATGGGGGGAAGGTGGGGGTTGATGGGGGAGTGGGGGAGTGGCAGAGAGCAGATCTACATGGGTTTACGGTGCGCAGCATCAGCCTGGGCAATGAAATGTGACGCATGCACGGCGCAGCCGCTCAGGTGAGGGTGAGAGGGTGGGGAATGGGATGTGACATATGAAGTGCAGGTGAGTGTGATGGTGGGGAATTTTCCTCATTCCACTCACTCCTTCCCCCCATTCTCTCCCACCCCCTGGTGTTTCCTCTCCCCCTCTCCCCCTCTTCCCTTTCCTCTCCTCTCCCTCCAGGTGGGAGTGCCGCACTCCACACTCCACTACTTCCAAACCGACTGTGCCATCAACCTGGGGAGCTTTCATTGCTCCGTTCACCCTCCCACTCGCTCTCCCACTCCCCTTCCCCCACCCCTCCCACCAGGTGGGAGTGCCGCACTCCTCACTCCACTTCTTCCAAACAGATTGTGCCATCAACCCGGGCAGTTCAGGCAGTCCCCTCGTGAACGAGTTCGGAGAGGTGCGTGCAGCTCTCGCAACCTGCTTTCTTTAGATGCCATATGCTGCTTGCTTGCCTCCCATCAACCTAGGCAGCTCTAGCAGTCCCCTTGTGAACGAGTTTGGGGAGGTGCGTGCAGCTGTGTAAAGCTGGTTCCCCTGTATGCCACATGCTGCTCGCTTGCCACATCCTATCAATCTGGAGAGCTCAGGCAGTCCTCTCGTGAACGAGTTTGGAGAGGTGGGTTGGTGCTCCTCTCTCAATCCTCTGCTGATGTGGGTGGTGCGGTGTAAGCCTGCTTTCCCTGTATGTCACATGCTGCTTGCTTGGCCTCCTATCAACTCGGAGAGCTCAGACAGTCCTTCCGTCAACATGTATCGTGGAGGTGCGAGCTGCACTCTCAAGCGATTTTTGAGGCGCCTCAAAAACCTCTGGCAGTCCCTCTGACAACATGTTTTGTGGAGGTGCGAGCTGCACTCTCAAGCGATTTTTGAGGCGCCTCAAAAACCTCTGGCAGTCCTTCCGTAAACATGTATCGTGGAGGTGTGAGCTGCTTTCTCAAGCGATTTTTTAGGCGCCTCAAAAACCTCTGGCAGTCCTTCTGACAACATGTTTTGTGGAGGTGCGAGCTGCACTCTCAAGCGATTTTTGAGGCGCCTCAAAAACCTCTGGCAGTCCTTCTGACAACATGTTTTGTGGAGGTGCGAGCTGCACTCTCAAGCGATTTTTGAGGCGCCTCGAAAACCTCTGGCAGTCCTTCTAATAACATGTTTTGTGGAGGTGCGAGCTGCACTCTCAAGCTTCCCCTAAGTGCTGTGTGCCCACTGTGTAATGCTCTGTAGAGCTGCTTCCCTGTATGCCTACTGGCCCCCCATCAATCCGGGCAGATCTGGCAGTCGCCTTGTGAACAGAACCTCATATGAGGTCATGCTTTGCCTAGCTTGCTGCTGACATGGCACGATCTGATTGGTGGCTGCAGGTCATTGGCATCACAACAGCCATCCGGTCGGATGCTGAAGGAGTGGCGTTCGCCATCCCCATCAACCATGTGAGAATATCATTCGAGTCGACTCTAAAGTCAGCTCGTGTCACACTGCATCTCTCACCGAGAGCAATCTGCTGTTTCAGATTCCCACACACAGAGCCATCTCTTATGGTATTCTTGTGTTTCTTGCACTCGGTCAAGTGTTTGCTTCCTCTCTCTGCAGGCCATTCGTGAGCTGAGTTCCACCAGGGAGCTCTCAGGCAGTCCCCTTGTAGAGCCATCTCTTACTGTTGTGTTTCTTGCACGGAGTTTCGTAAGTGCTTCTTGCACTCATTCGAGTGTTACCGTATCTTCCTCTCTCTGCAGGCCATTCGTGAGCTGAGTTCCACCGGTATACACTTGGATGCAAGAGGCTTGGACACTGTTTGTGGAAGAACTGTATTCTCCCGGACATAACACCCTAGGGTATAGCTAAAAATACAGGGGAAAAATGGGGGGGTTCTCCTCATAGGAAAAAAATACATACCGTAATACCCGGGTCTTTACATATGGCATATCTTAGTGTTAGTGTTTTTTTAATTAGTCAATGTGGGTGTTTTGCTGGTCGTTTTAGCATCACTGCCTGAGGCGCGAATGTGAGTTTCGGCCTCAAACTTCATCGCCCCCACGAAAATGGCATGTGGCACCTCTCTTGCCACTTGCAACGGAAGATTCACCTGCACGTGGCGACAGAGAAATAGTGGGAGGGGGCAAATCTCGGCAGATTGCCTTTGAATGTACTGCAAAATTTCATTGAGGGAGAAATTCACACGTATTGCAGCTACTCGTTAACGACTATAATAATGAATCCGTAAGAAAAGGGGGAGTGTTATAGAAAATCAGCCAAAAAGGGGGGTATAGTAGAAACGAGGTCTATCATAACACCCACCCCGCACAAGCTACCCGGGGGTGTACAATTATGGGGGGGTGTTTTGTCCGGGAGTATACGGAATGTAAGTTCCATAACTTTGGACAATACCTGTATGTTATTCTTCAAGGGCCGGACTTGGCTCTGCAGGGGTTTTACTCCAGTGCCAGCCACAGATGGCTATATGCCGCAGACATCCTTTCATTCGTTTGGGGCGCGCCGGTGTTCGGTCAAGTCCTGCGCGTTACGAGGTTAGGTCCTTTTGTTGTGCAAGAATTGTTATGGTACCAAAGTGCACTAGATTAATAAGTATTGTTATTGGAAAATAAGGGTACGGTATGTAAGGAGGATGTTTGGAAAACTCTTCTCTGTCACGTCAATCTATTGCATGCGTTGGACGAGTGAGTCCACCTTGCTGTGTATGCATTCAGCAGAGATTCTTATTGGATTCGCAGCTCTAGCAAGAATTTGCACCTTAGAAAAGCCATGACAATAGCCAAAAGTTGTACTGGGAGGGTGGTGTCAAGATTGCTCTTGGTATGGTCCTATCATCAAGCTGTGCAAAAGGTTCCTGAATGAAAACGCCGATGCCCAGCTGTGCAAATGGTTCCTCAATGAAAATGCCGATGCCCAGCTGTGCAAATGGTTCCTGAGTGAAAACGCCGATGCCGGGGTTTGAACCCGAATCTTCGGCGTGACAGGCAGAGCTACTGACCATTATACTACATCGACTTGTCATGCCTGTAGTTGTTAAATTTAAAAATTAAGAATTACATCCGAAAGCACGGATGTGACAGCGGTTTCCAGTTTTTTTTTCTCGGAAGCCAGGTTTCCAGAACAGCGGTTTTACAACCGGAAGTTATCATTGCAGAACCGCTGAAGACAAAACAGAATGTCACTGTTCAGTAGAATCTTCGAGCAATGATACGTTCTAGCCGCCTGTTCCTACCCCGGAAATCCGATTGGGCAGGGTAAAACGAAAGGAAAACGTTACAACCCGCATACCAGATAGGTCAATCCTCCCAGCACCAGACTTTCGAGTGTAACTAATAGTTTCCCTTGCTAATTTCAACGCCTGGGCAGGGAGGCGTGAAATTGTCGTTTCTCACTGTGGTTGAAATTGGGGGGATGATACAAATCCCCCACCAACCGCAATATCAACACTGGCTGAGTCAGTCTGGTTCGAGCAATGCTGACTGGGATTTACACACGCGTCGGACGCGGAGTCATTACTAGTCACTTGGCCTTTGCTGTAGCCCGTCTTTCAGGTACAACAACCGTCTTTCTATGCGATGAAAGCGGACAGTGCAGCCGAGCGTGGCGATAGCTTTAGTTTCCGGATCAAGTTCCGCGCTTTTGCGATGGCTGCGCATGTGCAACATGCGATGATTGGGATAGGACCAGCACATCTGGTCTATCATAGAGCCGCTCCGGGATGATCCCGCCCTTCGCTCGGCCCGAGCGAGGCCCTTCCCTTTTGGTCTCCGGGAGACCGGTCTCCGCCGCCTCGCCTTCGGAGCAGGTTGATCACTCATCCCGCAATGCCGCTCCAGTGGTGGCACCACCAGTCCCGCGCGCACCGACCGAGAGCAGAGGAACTTCCGGAGCGCGCACCGCCGCGGCACGTGCATTAAGCGAGCGAGCGGCCGAGTCAGCGAGCCTTACCCTTTTCTCTTTGCAGCCAGTCAGGAGGCCTCCCTTCCAACTCGGACCACAACCTCCCCCGCCAGCCATGGCGCGCCAGGCTCCTCCGCGTGTCCCGCGGCTGCTGCTGCTGCTCGCTCTGGTCGTCTCGGCGACTGTCGCCGTCGCGCAGAGCCCCACTGGCAGTCCGGGTACGTTCGCCCCAGTCATCTTCGTGCCGGCCACTCAGAGCCTGAGGTTCGGTCCGGGGTACACTGCGTCTGTGAACCCCGCAACCCACCCACCTTCATTGGGCGTTGTCGACTGGAAAGGCGCGCCTGTCGCGCCCACTTATAACGCGGACGGATCCGCCACTGTTGCCGGGTACACCGCGTACCCAAACGGCACCGTCACTGGTCCGGGCGGCCTTTCGATCTACCTTCAAGGTTCCAGCTCTGACGCGGCATTGTTCGCCGTGGGAGCAACAACAGTTTTGAGAAACGGAACCATTGTGGACGGTTCGGGAAAAAAGGTTGTGCCGATGAAAAATGGAGACGGGTCGTACACAGCAGGGGACCTGACTGGGTGGCCTAACGGCTTCATCATTGGCAGCTGCGGCGCCGTGATCTACCCCGGCGCACCGCTCACCCTCACGGCGGACGGCAGCGTTGCTTTTGCGCCGCGGGCAGCTGTTCCCGTGCCTGGCGCCGCCATCGCCCTCAACCCCACCACCCGCAGCCTGTCGTTCGGCGGCTATACACTGTGGTTGAGCGGTAATGAGCTCTCCCTCTTAGACTCCGCCCGCAACCTGTCGCTGGGTGGTTTCACAGTGGGGCCGACTGTTGGCACAGGGCCGACTGGCACAGGGCATGGCAGTAAATTTTCCCTGCTAGACTCCACTGGCCAACCTGTCACCACCGCCACCAACCCCGACGGGTCCCTCTCTCTTGATGGCTACACGCTTTTCAAGAACGGCACGATCACCGCTCCGGGTGGCCGCATTGCCATCAACACTGCAGGTCCCAACGCGGGTCTGCGTGTGGGAAGAACGACGGTTCTGGTAAACGGAACGGTTCTGAACGGTATGGGAGCGAAGATTGTGCCGATGGGGCCGAATGAGGACGGGTCGTACAGTGCAGGGGACCTGAAGGGGTGGACCAACGGCACTATAGCTGACACCAAATCTGGTGTGGTGCTCTATGCGGGCGCGCCGGTCGCTCTTACAGCTGATGGCAGGGTTACTCTGGCTTCTCCTACCATTCCCACTGCTGCTGGTGCCGCTTCTCCTCCTCCTGCTGCCGGTGCTCCCTCTGCTGCTGCCACTTCTCCGCCTACTGATGCCGCTGCCCCCTCTACTGATGCTGCTTTTCCTACTGCTGATGCCGCTGCTCCTACTGCTGGTGCCACTTCTCCCCCTGCTGGTGCCTCAACTCTTGCCGCTGCTCCCAAGACTGCCGGTGAGTTGTTTCTCCCATGCTTCTCCCATGCTTCTCCCATGCTTCTCCTATGCTTCTTCTCCCATGCTTCTTCTCCCATGCTTCTCCCATGCTTCTTCTCCCATGCTTCTTCTCCCATGCTTCTTCTCCCATGCTTCTTCTCCCATGCTTCTTCTCCCATGCTTCTTCTCCCATGCCTCTTCTCCCATGCTCCTGCTTTGCCTCAATCTTGCCTTCCTGCTTGGTACCTTGCCCTGTTGTAATTCCGCTGCACATTTCCAATCCCTCCTTTTACTTCCTGCACTCGTTTCCTGTTTTTTCAAGTAGGTTGTTCTGACCTGATGCTGCTCTCCCTGCTGTTCTCCCTCGCAATGGCAGGTTCGCTCGCTTCACCGCCCACTGTGCTCACTGCTCTCATCACTCTCACCCTCACCCCGCTCATGCTCATGTAAAGCAACACACTTCCATGGCGATGCTCGGCAGCCCACAGAAGACAGGGGGGGATGGGGCGAGGGATCCAAAAGGGATAGCCTCGCCCCTAGTTGGGTGGGTCAACTCGGGGTCCACCAGACTTGACCCCACGTCCGAAGTCCTAGCGCAAGCGGAGTATCAGGGGGGGCGCGCGGGGTGAACAGTTCAAGATGGCGGAGGGGGTTGGAAGCAGCACCCCGTAAGAAAGGAAATTTCTGCCCATTCAAAGGGTTGTCGCATGCCATGAAAAATAAAAACACAGACCACTGCATGGGCAGAAAACATGGAAATTTAGTAGCACTGTACGAGTTTAACTAAGGGTGTGTTCCTACGGCCTCATATCAGGAAACCTCGTATCAAGAATGTACCTTTTGCCTGATAAAACTTGCGAGAGGTTTTGGGTTTAGGGGAATTTTCAGTGTGAGCCTGATACGAGGTTGTCTTGATATAGGAACACGCTCTAAGGTTGATTGGGTAGTTTTTTTTACTAAATGTGCGTGTCCATCATTATGATTTTGATGTCGTCGCGACGAGTTAATTTTGAGTGTGGGGTAATTGTTTACACGAAATGCGTGGACGGGAAATCCAATTTCCTCCTCGTTCTTCTTTGCAGCCGCTCGCTACGGAGCCTGGGGGTGTTCGTGCGGAAGGTATGGGAGGCACCGGGGGTGTGGGTGGTAAATATGCTGGTTCTGGGGGTGCTGGAGCTGGAGGCACTGGCACTGTGGCGCCTACACCGTGCACAGTACGTTTTCTGATCCGTGAACAGCATCTCCTCCGGTTGGAAAGGGAGGAGCGTGAGCGGTTTGAGAGGGCACGGCAGCAGCAGCAGCAGCAGGATCAGTCTAAGTCGCAGCTGCAGGAGAGCGTAGAGGAGGAGTCACCGCCGCAAAAGGAGAGGGTAGCACAGGAGTCCCGGTCGCTGCAGGAGCTGGGTTGTAGTCGCAGCAGTAAAGAGTAGAGGAGGAGTCACGAGTGCAGCAGCAGGTGCAATTGCATTTGCCGCAGGAGAGAGTAGAGGAGGAGTCACTGCCGCAGTAGGAGAGGGTAGAGCAGGCGTCCCGCCTGCAGCAGTACACGAGTGCAGCAGCAGGTGCAATTGCAGTTGCCGCAGGAGAGAGTAGAGGAGGAGTCACTGCCGCAGTAGGAGAGGGTAGAGCAGGCGTCCCGCCTGCAGCAGCAGATGCAGTTGCAGACACAGCAAGAGAGAGTAGAGGAGTCATGGCTACAGCAGGAGAGGGTAGCACAGGAGTCCCGGTCGCAGCAGGAGGTGCAGCGGCAGCCGTAGCAGGAGAGGGCAGAGGAGGAGCCATAGGAGCAGCAGTAGGGGCAGGTGCCATCGCGACGGACGCCAGGGAAGGCGGAGCAGTAGCGACTGCGCGACTTGCCCGACCCTGCACCTGCACGCTTGGTGCGTGGTCCTCTACTGTCCCCTCCTGTTCCCCCTGTCGTGTCCCTTTCCTCGTCTCCGTAGACTCGTCGTTCTCCCCTCAGTAATGTTGTGTCTCCAGGGCCTCCTCGGTCCCGTTACGGTGCGGACAACCCGTTTCATCTTGTTCTCCGCTCTCGTGTTCCACCTCCTCCTGTCTTTCCACAGCCTCCTGAGTCGTCCCTCACTGTGTTTTACGACCCGTTGTCCGACTATGTCCGTGCCTCCCGTCCTGTCGTCTCGTGTGTTTTGTCTGCGTTGGTCACTCACCCGACTACCTCCCCGTTGTCTGTCTCAGCTCTTGTTACCACTGTCGCTAGTTTTGCCTCTTCCCACCGCCTTGACTACGCCGCTCACCTGGTGAATGGCCGTGCTCGTTCTCTGTCCTCTGGAGGTGCTTCTGTCTTTCCCCTGGAGGTCCTCGCATTAAGGAAGTTTGAACTTGGTTTCCTTGCGGCCATGCTGCTTGCCCTTGAGGGGGATCTAGGCGCCCTTGACATCCCAATCCTTCGCACTCACGCCGAGGCGATCTTAGGACCCTAGGCTTTGTACTGGATAGCATCCGAGGAGGCAGCGACCGCGATGGTTGACTGGTTATCCACGTTTAGGACACTCGAACCCGCCCTCAACTGCTCTAACATTCTAAGGCCCAGCCAGGTGGGGGGCCATGTGGGTGCAAGTGAGTCTAGGTAAGTGGGGGTGCAGATAAGTTTAGATGGGACTTGGGGAGTGTAGGTGGGTGGAGGTGAGTGCAGGTGGGTGGAGTTGTGTGTAGGTGGGTTGAGGTGAGTGTAGGTGGGTAGTGGTGAGAGTAGGTGCTTCATACATAATGCAGCTACGCACTGCATGTTGGTAACTGGAGCAGCAGTATTGACCGTCAGGGTGGCCCTCCTTTTTACGGTCGTTATTTATCTGAATGCTTATTTTTTACACATATTTCTTGCAAGTGTGTGAATGACACCTCTTTAAAATATGCTACTTGTGTAATCTTTCTGCTCGAGATACGATTGACAATGGTTAATAATTAATGCCCAAGATTGGTTGTACTGCTCATCAATGTTCTTCCATCATGTCATTTCACATGAGGTTCATAGATGTGGGTTTGGTAAGGTGTGGATCGTATTGTATGATAATTTTTTACCAAAAAAAAAAAAAAAAAGCAAACAACAACAACAACAACAACAACAACAACAACAACAACAACAACAACAACAACAACAACAACAACAACAACAACAACAACAACAACAACAACAACAGCAACAACAACAACAACAGCAGCAACAACAACAACGGTTGTTTGTTTCAACAACAACTGTTGGATGCACGTCATTCTGAGTGCATGTCATCCTAACGTCCTGCCGAGTGCTCGTGCTATTTGTGCTTGCATGATTTGCATGAGCGTATGTCATTATGCATGGCTGTTGGATATTATCATCTCTGTGTTTTTCTCCAAGTCTAAATGCTTGATCATGCAGGAGAAATCCAGAGCTTTCCAACGATACCAAGATCGCCTTATTCCGACCAAGATCGCCCAAGTTACAAGATTTCCAAGACTTGGATTTCTTATTACCTTTTGGGGTTATATCTAATTTGGGTGATTACTTGGGACATGACTATAAAGGGATCTTTGGTTGGGTGGTTAGGGAAGGCAACTTTGACTTTTGGATTGGGGTGGCTAGAAGTTTCTAGCATGGGTTGCAAATATTGCAACACCTAGGCAAAATCCAACTAGATTGGATTTTGCATGTGACACCTCAAGGACCTCATGATGAGGGTTGCATCCTTGCTGCTAGGAAGGTTCCTACTATCCTTCCCTAGCTCTTGGAGAACCTCTTCCCTCTCATGGTTCTCTTGGAGGTTCCCAACTCCAACTTTCTATGCCTTAATGCTTGTACTTCCTCTACCATTCTAGTCATGCGGCTGCTGGACGTTTTTACTTGGTTCTCACTCTATAGACCATCTTAACGACTGATTCAACTTAGAGATGGTAGCTAAGCCTAAGGCGCAACTTCCTACCGAGCGGATTTGCGTTTAATTGAGTAATGAGTTCATTGTAAGCTCTCAAAGTGACGGATCCTGAACAACAACAACAACAACAACAACAACGGTCGTTTGTTTCAACAACAACAACAACGGTCGTTTGTTTGTTAGAGAAATCTGATCACCTAAAAAGGGTAACTCACATGGAAGTTCTTGCATCACATCACCTAATATCACATCACCTCACATCGCATCACATCAGATCTCATCACACCACCTCGCGCATCAGATCCTGTCTCCCCCTTATCTTCCCTCCACTCCCACCTTATCTTCCCTCCTCTCCCCCTTCATTTTACCTCATTTCCCCCCTCCTCCTCCCTCCCTCCTTCCGAGCTCCTATGTATATACTTCATTTAAATGTGGCTAGAGCTGGGAGCATACCGTCTATCATGCCAACTCTACGCAAAAAACACCCTAGCCGTAACCACAAACCCAACCACAGCCCCACCGAGCCCTCAACCACCCCCTTCGCAACTCGTCTACGGGCGCCTAGGCATGAACGTGGCTATGATACAAGGCCCGCAAACCTACCAGCAGCTGTGGCTGACGTTTGGTATTACCTCCCCGATGCGCTTCTTCTAGATGAACCCCGACCTCTCACGTGACTCGTTGCTGCCGCACAGCCTCCTGCAGGGCAATGTGATTCGTAGGGTGAGTTGAGTTGCTTGTGTGTGGTGGGTGTGGGGGCAAGTGGGGGGAGGGGTAGTATCTGGCATCGCCTCCCCCACGCACTTCTTCCGGATGAATCCCGGCGTCTCGTGCGACTCGCTGCTGCCTTGTAGCTCCCTGCACGGCAATATAATTAGCAGGGTGAGTTGGGTAGCATGGCGTGTGTTCCGTGGGTGTGGGGGCAAGGGGTAGTATTTGGCATCGCCTCCCCCATGCGCTTTTTCCAGATGAATTCCAGCCTCTCGTACGACTCCTGCTACCGTACAGCCCCTTGTACGACAATATGATGAGTAGGGTGAGTGGGACGGCCTGTATGTAGGGGTAGAGGGGGGAAGGTGGGGTATGTGCTGCTGCCTTACAGTCCTCTGCAGGGCAATATGATGAGCAGGGTGAGTCAGACGACCCGTGTGTGGGGTTGAGGGGGGGGGGGGGGGGGGGGTTGGGAGGATGGATAGGGGAGAATGGAAAGGGAGGGAGGATACAATTCATATATCACCTCTTGCATGCATGGACTCACTTGCGTATAAACCGTCCTTCATGGATGATGGTATGGCAATGTGATTGAAATGTGGGTGCAAGAGAGTGTGCAAGAAAGTGTGCAGGAGAGTGTGCAAGAGAGTGTGCAAGCGAGCAGACAAAAGAGTAAGAAAGTGGTCTTGGGCTCCGACGGAACTTTCTGTATCCGTTAGCCTGCTGCCAAGCAACCCACTCTTAGTCTTCCGTACTTCAGCTTTTGGCAGGAGAGTGCTGCTAGTGGAAGTGGGGGTATGGGAAAGTATTTGAATTAAGAAATGATGATGGGTTCTGGTGGTGTGACGCTCTGCTACCATACAATCCGCTAAAAGAGGCCCTGATGGTGAAGGTGAGGGCAGGAATGGATGGTGAAATGTCCAAGGTGATGTGAGGATGTGAGTGTGGGCAATGTATTTGTGGGGGGTGTGAGTGTGGGTGGTGTTGTTGCGAACCTGTTTGAATTGAGGCAAGATGTAGGAGTCGATAGGTTGAGCGTGTGAGTCGAG